ACGTGATCGATGAAATATTTTTTAAGATACCGTGGCTACCGTAAAAAAAATTTTTCGGAAAATTGCTGTACCTCACTAATTTTTTTAATATATCTTGATAAGAAAAATTATATATTAAGTTGAATAATTGTACTATGAAATCACGCTCTGCTTTCGGTTAAAAAATGCATTTTGGTTACGAAACAAAAATTCTTGAATTCCGCCTATAACAACTGCATATAACCCCTTAATAGATGAACGATTAACATTTAAGTTATTAGTGGGCTGGAAAAAACTTGGATAAAGGATAACAGAATAACTGAAGTACACTAAAAATATTCATAAAATTCCTACACTTTTAGTACATAAAGTTGTAGTAAAATTATATATTTGACGATTTAAAGATGAATGAGTATACATTTATTGTAAATTTCTAAATGAATTTGAGTTTTATGAAACTATGTAAGGAAATTAATAATCTTGTGTACTAAATTTATAATGTTATCAATTTTATTTGAAAATGTTGAAAAATTAGTATACCATATTTGAATAAGATACCCGAAAACTGTTATGTTAAAAAAATTGTTGAGTGTAGCACGCATCCTTATTTTAAAATTCGAAATGTCACTCAAGCTAATGTTGACTCTTAATGTATTTTCTGTAATATTCAAAATGAATACATGACAAAAAGCTGTGCTGTAATTACTAAAAAAAAAAATACTCGCACACGATTACTTCTTTTTACATTTACACATATCTATGTCTCCAATTGATTTTAAAGAGAAGTAACGTATTTCAATGGAAAAGTAATTGATTTAATATATTCCGACATATATTCTTATTCAATTGGGAATTTATACAAATTCTTCAGTGGTGTTGTTCTTAAGGTGATGTGAAAGTGGCGTCGAAGAGGTTATGTTTATAAAACTTTTCTCCCAATTCGGTTTACCGAATAGTTTGAAACTTTACAACGTGAATAGGAAGACTATAAGGAAGGTCCTGAAACTCATGAAATTTCAATTCTTTTCTAATTTGTTTATAGGTATTTTAAAAATAGTTTACAAGAAATGAAAATTTGCGAGTTTCATGACCTACCTTAGGGTCTCCATATTCACGTTTTAAAGTATGAAACGATTTGAGACGCCCACCTCGTAGAAAAGTTTTATGAATGATTTCTTAAACAATATATGAAATTACGTTGCATTCAAAGTTAATTAGTTTATTAGCGATTCAGTTGTTCCATCCACTAAAACGAGGTATGAATATTATCTCAGTTTTTAAAAAAATAGTGTAATAATATTTATACCGTTGAATGCCGCAGGAAAATTTTTATTGCGTACATTTTCGGACATAGAAACTGATTCACGTTTTTATGTCCCTTATATATTTATTTCTACACCTTTTCCCGTATTCCTCGAATAAATGAACACCCGTAAATAATTAAATGAACATCCTAATGCGTAAATATGATAGAACTTCTCTCTGGGCGGGTTTTTCATTAACGCAAAGCTCGGTACCTGTTTCAATTGAATCGAGTTCAAATAAGTATCCAAAACGTAAAATACCATGTTCTGCTTCTTATTTCAAATATAAACAAACAAACTATTTTGGATTTTCTATTCTAAATAGATTTTGAATCTATCTCCATTTAAACTTAAATACTTCTAGGGAAAACGCATATATACATATTTACGCATATTAATGTGGTGTATATGCAAATATGTCAACTCCCGAAATAGTGAAATAAAACGCATAACTCGAAAATAGCCACTTCCGCAAATACTGATTAATTGAAATTTTTTATTTGCATTTTTAAATACAAATATACGTCCTAACTAAAATATACAAGTTCTCACAATATATAATTTCTCGGAACACGAAACAACTGAAAAGCGATGAAAAGTGCTGGGCGGAAATAGGAATTGTCAGGGAATGACAGTCAATTTTGTGTCAAAGACATGTTGAAAGCGGGTATTTTTGTGAGTTGTAGTTTTATAGATAATCAAGATCGTTAATGTAAACGACGAGCGAAGATCTCGAAATAATTGTTCTCCAGAAATCTGAATACTCCTTATTTTTCTACTTTAACTCATTAAAAGGACGACTGTGAAGAAGTAATCGGAGATGTTCAGCAATTCCTATCAAAGTGGCTTCCTGTCTATTTTCTATAGCTGTGGCTCATCACCATTAGCTCTATGGGATATGAAAGTAAGTTTTGGTAATTAGAACTTACAACTGCGTGTTCTTAAGGGGTTATATGCAGTTGTCATAGGTGAAATTCAAGAATTTTTTTTCATTACTATAATGTATTTCTTAATCGAAAACATAGCGTGATTTCATAGTACAATTATTCAACTTAATATATCATTTTTCTTATCAAGGTATATTTAAAAATTGGCGAGGTACAGCAATTCTCTGAGTTTTTTTTTTTTGTGATGACCACGATATCTCAAAAAATATTTCACCGATCAGCTTCTAATTTTTAGGGCTCATTCTACACATGGAGGACTACTAAATGCATGAAGGATTCTTTTTTTTTTTAAACTTGCTGTTTTATTAAGGAAAAACGAAAATGTTGTAAGATGAAAAAAGTGATTTTCCAGTCAAACCCCTGCCATTCTGGTGAAAATCAGAATTTCGAAAAATCCTTCGATCATTCAGCAGTACTCCATGTGTAGAATGAGCCCTAAAAATTTGAAACGTGATCGATGAAATATTTTTTAAGATACCGTGGCTACCGTAAAAAAAATTTTTCGGAAAATTGCTGTACCTCACTAATTTTTTTAATATATCTTGATAAGAAAAATTATATATTAAGTTGAATAATTGTACTATGAAATCACGCTCTGCTTTCGGTTAAAAAATGCATTTTGGTTACGAAACAAAAATTCTTGAATTCCGCCTATAACAACTGCATATAACCCCTTAATAGATGAACGATTAACATTTAAGTTATTAGTGGGCTGGAAAAAACTTGGATAAAGGATAACAGAATAACTGAAGTACACTAAAAATATTCATAAAATTCCTACACTTTTAGTACATAAAGTTGTAGTAAAANCTGCAAAATCGCTGGAGTGGTGAGCGCCCTTAAGCCGGGTACATATTTGAGCACGAACGCGTCTGAGGCAATGCAAACGTACGAGTGTGGACAAGCAATCAAAGTGCGACAAACTGCCTCGAATCATTTGACACACTATTCGAAGTTCTCAAATGCCATTCGTCAAGATGTCCGTTCATTACCTCGGACCACTTCATTCATTACCACCATCTCAGTACGAGATATTCGTTCTGCCTGCATTCGTGTTCAGATGTGTGCCCGGCTTTAATTACTGACCCGGGGATCGATTTTGTAACTCAAATCGGGTTAAAATGATAAAAGTGAGCACCCACAGACACAAAATCGACCCCCTGAGACAGATAATTTTCATAATTTCTTTATTATTTCGATAACAAGGGAAATTATCTCGCTGCCATTATAATAAAGATTAAATTATTCTTTACAGATACAGAATGGTTATGTAAAGCGAGTTACGGATGAAGAAGTAAAGTCATTGGCATTAGAAATAGTTGGCACCAATGTGGCGACAACATATATTTATTGTCCTGCCGATTCGAAAAAAGTGCTGGGCATTAAGTTACCTTTCCTTATCATGATTATTAAGAACTTGAAGAAGTACTTCACGTTTGAAATAACAGTAATTTTCAGGAAGTTAATAAATGGAAACTAAAAAACCATTTCAAACAGGAAACATGACTTGTAACAACAAAACATATATAATACGTAAATATTCAGTGGGCATACGTTACATTTTCTTCTTCGTAATCTTGAATACTATCGGTAGTTGGACATTCCAGTAGGAGTAATGAGCATTCGAAGTACGCTAGGTTAAGGTGAAGTAAACACGTCGAAGAATTTGATCGACGTCGATAAAAAAGATTTTTCAAAATACCCATGTTGCCGACATTCATTTTTATATTGGCAGCTGTGTCGAATTATATTGGGCATTACACTAAATGGCATACTCCACCTGTCGTTTTCGCACAATAATTACAATGAAATCGAAGTAAAACTTCAGAAATTCTCTAGATTTATGGTTTCTGAGGCCCTAATTGGCTGCAGAGGGACATCCTGCGCCATCTGTGATTTCCGTGTCAACTAGTTTTTCACTCCGATGCCTCGTATTACCATCGTTTTAGCACAGCAGCGTATAAGACACTTTTTTAGCCTTTATCCCTTTCAAATTCAAGTTTAACGATTACTACAATGTTCTAAATTGTCGTTCAATTGTCCTGACCTTTTCGTTTCTCAGATAAGAGCCTTCAATAATTGGATATCGATCGAAATATGAGAACACGACGTCATTTTGGTTCTGGTCTGAGCTAAGTTAAACAATTTCTTTAAAAAATCCGAATTTCGAAAGTGTCAGGATTATTACTAGGTGATCGCGAGTCACGTGTTCAAGTTTCGATCCAATACCCTATATAAATAAAAAGGGTTTTATTCCAGTTGACTGATTTGAAGGGGGGTTTCACTTCACCTTAAAATGTAGATTTATCATAATGTCATTGAATTCCTGCAGAAACGCCTTAGGTGTGAACAAAAAATACGCGCCAAATACATCTCGTAAACTAACAGTTTATAAGATTCCCACAATACATTAATACTTAACACTAGGTTTACGGGCATTTTTTATATACCCATTTCTACGAGCACCCGTCAAATTGACGGGTAATCGAAAATACGGATTTTCTTTAATAAATCGATTTATTCAAATTAAGTCTGAATTAGACAACACTAGGCTTTACGTTTGAATAAATTATTAATAAGTAAAAAAGTCCTTTTTTAAACATTATCGCGCAAATGATTGGAATGCTCGTCCTCTCATCCTCGGAATCAGAACTAGAAAGAATACTCATCCTTTTCTTGCTACGACACACTTTCAAGAAGTTTTCCTCTTCACTATCCGAAGATTCTCCTATCTCTCCACTTTCAATGCATTCGGAACTTTCACTCTCATCTTCGCTTTAGCGTAATTCATATCAATCTTCTTTGGAGGTATCCTCAGAACAATCTTCATTGCTGTTGACAAATTTGTTCAATTTCTTATTATATCTCCTGGATTTACTCATGATTGCTAGAAAAGGGAGATTGGTAAAAATAAAAAAAAAAATCCTGTGCCCAAATTCAATTACCCTGTTGTAGATACTTACAATAAGCGGAGACTGTCTACAATAAATGAAACTTTTATACCCTGTCTTTGAGAAACGTCCTTCCACTCACTACAAAGAAGCCAATATATATGGATCGTTCATGAAATTAGTTAGTCCGTCAATTTGACAGGTTTCGTAGAGATAGGTATACCACATAAAGACTTTAAAAATTAGAAGGCTTAGGAAAAAATAATTGTGTGTATAAATTCATTGGATGAAATGATTAACTTTCGATAGAAAAATGGTTAAATTAATGCTATGATTTTTTCGGTATTTCTATTCGAACAAAGGAGCCAATATATATATGGATCGTTCATGAAATTAGTTAGTCCGTCAATTTGACGGGTTTCGTAGAGATAGGTATACCAAATACAGATTTTTAAAATTAGAAGGCTTAGGAAAAAATAATTGTGTGTATAAATTCTTTGGATGAAATGATTAATTTACGATAGAAAAATGGTTAAATTAATGCTATGGTTTTTTCGGTATTTATATTCGAACAAAGAAGCCAATATGTATGGATCGTTCATGAAATTAGTTAGTCCGTCAATTTGTCGGGTTTCGTAGAGATAGGTATACTACATACAGATTTTAAAAATTAGAAGGCTTAGGAAAAAATAATTGTGTGTATAAATTCATTGGAAGAAATGATTAATTTACGATAGAAACATGGTTAAATTAATGCTATGGTTTTTTCCGTATTTCTATTCGAAGTTTGAATTCCGTCAAATTGACGGGTCCCGTAAACCTAGTGTTAAGAGGATATAAAAGGCGCTAAGAAATTTAATCGACGTCGATAAAGTAAAATTCATCTATAGTGGTATCTTTAGTGGTGATGCCGGTTTCAATACTCAAGTGATAACATAAGTTGCCCATTACCGACATTTATATTTATGTTGTACGTCTTTTACAGTCTGCGTTGAAAATTATACGAACTGCAGGGTTCCATATGTTATTTCAGTAAAGTAATGAGAAAAAGATCGATGTAAAACTGCCGAAATTCCACGAATTCATGACTGTTTATATTTTGCCGAACCAACGTCGCCATCTGTGGCATTTAGCTGCAACCAAATTTTTGCTCTAAAAACACGTTTTAGCCGCGGGACAAGCCAGTATTCTCTTGCGATGGTTGGTGAAACTATTTGCCACATTTTTCCATCTGACTCCGTAATATTCCATTTCTACAATATTCAAAATTGTTCGAGCTAGGTCCTGAAACTTTTCATTTTCGATTTTGAGCCTCCAAGAAGCGCAAAACATCGAAAACGTGCCCGGACTATGTCATGTTGATTCTAGTCTATGATAAGTAAATAAATTTTGGATGAAAACTGAAATTTCATTAGTTTCAGAACCTATTTTACGGTCTCCGTATTCCCGTGGTAAAATTTAAAACGAATCGGTACACCCAAATCGGAGAATAGTTTCACCAACGATTTGACTTCTCAGATATATATAGATTGAATCTTTCACATTCTCTTAAGGTGAAGTGAAACACATCGAGGAACTTGATCAACGTCGATAAAGAAGATATTTCTAAATGCCTACGTTGCCGACATTCGTTTTTATATTGACAGCTGGGTCGAATTATATTGGGTATTGTACCAAATGGCATATTCCACCTATCGTTTTCATACAGTAATTATAAAGAAATCAAAGTAAAACTCCAGAAATCCTCTGGATTCATGCCTTCTGGGGCTCTAATTGACTGCGGAGGGACCCCCTGCGCCATCTGTGATTTCCAGGTCAATTAAATTTTCAATCCGAGACCTCGTATTACCATCGTTTTAGCAAAGAAGCGCATACAATACTTTTTTTGCCTTTATCCCGTTCAAATGCGAGTTTATCGATTACCAGAGTGTTCTAAATTGTCGTTAAATTGTCCTGACCCTTTTGATTCTCATATCAGAGCCATCGATAATTTTATATTGATCGAAATATGAGAGCTCGACGCCATTTTGGTTCTGGTCTGGACTGAGTTAAAAAATTTGTTTGAACAATCCAAATTTTTAATGTGTCAGGACAATTCTTAGATGATCAGGAGTGATGTGTCAAAGTTTCGGACAGTTTGGTCTAATATCCTTAAAAAAAAGTGTTGTATTCGAATCGACTGATTTGAAGGATGTTTCACTTCACCTTAAGCAAACGAAAGAAATGAAATCAATCCCGTTTGCCAAATACGTGCATCTTATGTTACGTATAAAGGTCAACTTTAATTACTAATAACTCGATGAAAAATGTTCCGTGCCTAAAATGGAAAAGGAACTTCTCGTTCAAAATTCCACCCTCTTTCACCCCATGAAAGATTAATTATCTATTATGAGACACCCTGTATAAAACATAGGTATTTGATCCCCTCAAAGCTTACATTCCTCTGGTATGACGTTTGTTGTTACAAGATGATATTTCCAAAAGTGAACAGTATGGGTTATTCCTTATACCTACATTTATGATCTGAGATTAGATTTTGGACAATAAGAAAATGCATCGAAGATTTCGCGTGAGCAATTTCCAAAGCACAACAAAAGTGAGACCATTCTGTACCACGATGCCCATAGGATTATCTGGTGGTTGGAATCAGATTCAATTCAATCTAGCGGATTTCACGAGGAGAGCATATGGTTCAAATTATGTTGAAACTAGCAGAATGCAAATTCATGCGAACTGTAGAATACGGAGGATATATTTCGCAGACAGGTACCTATGTATAAACTATTGTAAGGTTCATCGGTTATTTCACCGTTTTCAGTGATAAAAAAATATAATGTATATTATTGACAGATGAAGCAATTACCTTCCTCGAAAATGATTGGGATCTTTTTCTTTTGCTACTCTTTAACTCTTTGGGGTTAGGTGGGTTAAAAACTGTCCCACTTTTCGCTTAGCTTTTTAAAGGTGGGACACTCTTAATACCACCGTGCCTCAAAGGGTTAATAGGATATGAAAGGCGCTAAGAAAGTTAATCGACGTCGATAAAATAAAAATCATCTATACCCTTTTTGGTGGAAATACCGTTTTGAATACTCAAGTGGGAACATAAGTTGGTGCGTCCCATTACCGACATTTATATTTATGTTGAAGTCTTTTACAATCTACCTTGAAAATTATACGAACTGAAAAGGGTTCCATATGAGCCCATAATTATGAAAGTGGTCTAAGTCAAAATTTAAAAAAATGAGTTTATCAGTTATTTCACCCCATATTATTTTAAACTAAATTAATTCGATGTAATTTTTTCGATATTGTCAAAAATGAACCATTAGATAGTGATTGTAATTTCAATATTATATGGAATTCATTTAGTGTTAATTATGAAAGTGGTCTAAATAAAAAATTTAAAGAAATGATATAAACATAACCTTAAAATAGCACGTGGCCCTCCTTGGCGCGTTTTTAAACTACACAATAAGCCAACAAATGACAATCAAACAATAACAGAAACGACAATACTTTTCGGTCTACCTAACAATATATGGAATTCATTTAGTTCTATTTTGAAAGTGCATTAATTCAGTTGGGCTCTTCCAAACTAATTATTGGCAGAAAAATAATTTATATATTTTACCACTATGTCAACAGATAGCGGTTCAGTTACCTAACTTACGTTAATGACAACGTACTTATTATGTGAATACATTAATTATTATTCAGATATGATGTGATTTGCAGATATTATACGACCACGTAATACTTCTTTAGATGATTCTAAATTCCACGTTTTGAATCTTTCACCTAAAAGAGGAAGACCTAAAATATACGGAAATATTAAATTACTTCCACTATGCACCACCATTAGACCAGTAACGGAAGAAAAACAAACATATTATGTGTTTATTACCATACATCCCTCCAGTTTGTCAGAAACATTTTAAAAATCTTAAAAACACATAATGATAAAATCCTAAAATAATAAAAATGGATTACTTTTTTAAAATAATTAATAAAGGTTCATGAATTATTTCATTAAAATTATTGTATCTAATAAAACTCGTAGTTTTTTATTGTTTTAAGTCATTCATAGGACATTCAGTTAATTTTGAAAATGGTCCAAGTCAATTCACACTTTAAAAACGACATTTTGGTATGAAATTCACACAAAATTTCATATTCATAATAAATTTCCATTAATCAAGAGTAATAAAATTCTAAATTAAAATGTTGCATGATATAAAAATATTTTTTAATTTATTCAAATGCAATGCAATAAATATCTCGAAACAAGAAATATATGACTTAGACCACTTTCATAATTATGGGCACATATGTCATTTCAGTAAAGTAATGATAAAAAAACTCGATGTACAACTGTCGAAATCTCATGAATTCATGACTCTTTATATTTGGACGGACCAACGTCGCCATCTGTGACGTTTAGCTGTCACTAAATATTTGCTCAAAAATGCGTCGCATTCTCTTGCAATTGTTGGTGAATGTATTTACTACATTTTCCCATCTGACTCTGTAATATTTAATTTCTACGATATTCTAAATTATTCGAGCTAGATCCTGACTCTTCATTTTCGATTCTAAGTCTCCAAAAAGTGCAAAACATCGGAAACGTGTCTGGACCACGCCATGTTGGTTCTAGTCCATGATAAGTAAATAAATTTTGGATGAAAACTGAAATTTCATTAGTTTCAGAACCTATTTTACGGTCTCCATATTCCCGTGGTAAAATTTAAAACGAATCGGTACACTCAATTTGGAGAATACTTTCCCCAACGATTTGACTTCTCATATATATATTTTTTTTTTCATCCAAAATTTATTTCCTTATCATGGACTAGAACCAACATGGCCTGGTCCAGGCACGTTTTCGACTGTTTGACTCTTTCATATAATCTTAAGCCGTTTTCACAATTGATAAAGAATGAATTTATTTGGTTAAGTTTTTATACACTGAAGGTGCTTTTTTAAAAGTTAGACAAACAGCAGCACTAATATTATCGATATTTCTTAAAGACTGTATGCAGAGGATGAAATGCCCGAAGAATTCAAACTGTTCTTGCCAATTCATCCTAAGAAATGCAATCGACAAAAAAAAGAAGTGACATCCGAAGTAAATGCTACACCAGCTGATAAATCACCAATGTTTAATGTTGGAGATTCAAATGCACCACAGCTAGATGTTTCAACAATACAGGTTGAATCCTTGGTTACCGAAACCAAAGAATCTACCAAACAAAATGAAATTCAACCGATCCAAGAAGTAGAATCCAAGACAGATGAAATTTTTGAAACGGAAGAACCAATTGAAGAGAACGCAACTTATGAAGAACCGAATACTTCTGTGAAAATAAGTATACCTGTAGAATCCACAAGTGCATTGCATGATGAACAAGAAACGGAGATATCGGATATGGAAGACATGCTATCCGAGGAAGAAGGCTAATGAGAGATATGTAGCTTCATGTCCTTTTGAACAATAGTATATATTATTTAGAAATACATTTGAAAAATGATTTTTCTGAGTGTCCTTTTAATTAACCTGAAAAATAAACATATTGAAATAAAATCAATCATTGAATAAGCTTTATAATTTATTCCCAAATCACGGAAGAAATGAAAAAAAAGTGACAAAAAAGTATTTATAACATGTTTTTTTAGAACACAAGGCTGTCCCCCACTGTTCTCGATACATAAAATATTATAGTTATTAGCATAGATTAATTGGAAAAATATATAATTAATGCTGATATTAATAAAATGAATATATTACAAATAATATTATCACGGCACATCGTAATCTTCTTCTTCTCTCTTCCTCTTTAATGACTCATCCATTTCCATTTTCACTGACGGTACAGACTGACTGGTAGACATTTGTATTTTTGGTTTTGCAACCTGTGTTTTTACGGTAGTTGTTCCTGTAGAACCTGTTAAAATTGTTTACAATTACAAAACATGTACACATAAAAATTTCAAAAGTTGACATTCTAGCAATTTTTAACTATATATTCTTACAGAGACGGTTTCCAATGGAAATGTTTAGGAATGGAAGGTAAGGTGGGGTATTGAATGAGTATTCCAAATCTAGGACATAAGATGAACACCATTAAAATACTAGTAAAAATAATAAAAAATTATAAAACAGATATATTTATCTGTGTAAATCATGCAACCATTATTATAACATAAGGGATAATAAATGTACAAATTACAACTGCTACATATGACTCACCCGTTGAAAATTTAAAGACAGGTTTTGGTATTGATATCGTTTGTGTTCTTGCTACTGTGGCAAGCGTTCCGGGCCTTTTAACGATCGAAAGACCAGATTTACTGTTTTCCACTTTAATTCTAGATTGATTGCTTGTTAGGTTATTTCCAACTACTGCATGTAATGGTTTATTCTCATAGCGGTGGATCTTCTTTGAGGTATATTTTAATCTATAATTTGTGGAATTAAGACAGTAACGATCAGGTGGTAAGCGCAAACCGTTATTAGGCTTTACAAATGGTAGTGGGATATTATTCTTTGCTCGTGCCACATCCAAAAGGACATCTCTAGGAGGTGGATTCGTAAAAGTTCGTTCCAGCTGCATTTTTACAGCCAAACGCACATCATCTAGATCAATAAACTTCTTCTTTGCATGATTTGCATAAATTCTGCTGTCATCCAAAATACAGGTAACATAACCTATAAGTCAGGTTTTTATAAAGCATTTGATGAATTATATTGAATAACTATTTTAAACATTTGTAATGTAACCAAGGGTACTTGTAATACAATACAAAGTATCTCTAAAATCTGCATAAATAAATTAAAATTTAATTCACAAAACTTACGGTATGTGAATTCCAATAGTTGATTTATGACTTTCGGTTCGTAATCATTTATTCCCATGTCTTTCATAATAGACATTATAACTTGAGCATCCTTAGGAATATGTTTCACATGACTCAAAGACTTTGTTTTCTCAGACATTTTCAAATATTCAATTCCTTATTATTCACGCAAGCACACAACAAATTGAAATGTTCACCGAGGCAAAGAATATAGAGGACTCTATAGAAACCCAACTTCCATACGACACCTGAGACATGAGAAATAGTAACCGAGCACGACACTAGATGGAAGCACAGACGAACTGAATATGGCGCGTTCGACCACATGCGCGTTAGCATTATTTTTACCCGACTCGTTCGTCTATTATTTATTTCGCTAATGATAAATAAAACACTAACGACGTTATCACAATACTTATTATTAAACCCAATTGGCACATATAAACTTTCTTTTATTACAGCTTTGATAGAGCACGCATTTTTGCGGTAATTCCGTCGTTAGACTCCTTTACTTCTTCTACTACTTATATAACTACACGACGAACTAAGGTGTATTTACACGTTGTCCTATCGGAGCGCTGCTTGCGGCGTTTGCCTGAACTGTGTATGCGGTACCGTTGTCCTAGGTGCTGACGCCACATGAATGAGGCCGCACAAGCAAGTGATATAGAAATCCACCAGAGGCAGCACCGCAGTACGCGGAAGTGACACGACGTGAGAGAGCCAGGGTTGGGTAATTTCACGATTTTCGAGGTTTTTGACGTATATTACGTAAATCAAGTAGTTTACCGTAGAAAACGTAGAAAACCAGTAGAAAACGATTCCAATATGGCGGATAAGCAGACATATAGCATGCTGTATCTGCTAGGTTATAAACATCTTTTAGTACACACATAAACGTATTTTTATGAAAAAATTCATTTGGTTCTAGTATTTCAAATTATTTTGATTTAATATTTAATTTCGAACTGAATTTATTCTTTTTATTTAGAAATATCTGTCCTATATAAGCATCGACAATGACTCATGATAATTTTCGAAAGAGAATGGATAAAAACTTTCCTTTTAAAAGGATTAAAAAGTATCAGGTAAGCCTGCTATATGAAATAGGTTAATTTTAGTTAATATTGGTGTATAATATAACAGGTATAACTATGAACGCTTTCTCCAACGGAGCAGAAACCTAAAAATTACGTCAAATTGACGTGTAATTTCTGGGTTCGTAACGTCAAATTAACGTATTTCCATACGTGGCCGAGACGATCAGTTGAGGTAATATTGACGTCCGAATGTCCGCGCTAATATGGTCAAAGAGACGTTGATAGAACGTCAACCTGGACGTTGAATAGATGTCAGGTGAATGTACTTTTTTCTGTAGTGGTGGAATAACGGTGAAATCGACGCTTTCACTGCGAACGTCAAATTACCGTCAAACGAATGTAAACCAAGAGGTCCAAGAAACATGACTGAAATTGCATATTTGCGCAAAGTAAACGCGAAAGGAATGTCAACTGAACATCAGCTGAACGTCAACAAAGTGCCAACTTGGGATATAAAAATCGACGTGACTTTGACGCATACCAAACGTCAAAATTGCATTATTGCTACAGATTAACGAACCATCGGAAGCGCATTGAAGCGAGAACGCATAATTTGTACCGTACCCAGCAATACAGGGAAGTGAAATGAAGAAAGCACATTACTAAACTGTTTTTTATTCATTCATCTCTTAAAAGTCACTTACACTTTTACAAAGATGGGGTGTTTTGCTAAAATTAACAATGACGAACACATTTGCGGCGCAGAAGGATGATTTATTGATCACCAAACGCATAACCAGATCGGCACGACCGTACATACCAAAAAAATCGCTAAAGTAATGACGCATCCGCATAAAAAATATAACATTATATTCATATTAAGAGGCGTACAATTATTTATGAAAAATCGTTTCAACCATGAAAACATTGAATAAAAAATACACAGATTGACAACGATCGTACGTGTCCACAAAGTCTCTATTATAACGCCACATTCGGGTAAACAATTTTTAACATTTCTGAAACATTTCTCGTTATACTCGTGACAAGTGTGTAACAATTATCTCGGCAAAATCGTTCCAAATGGGATACGTCCAGCGTGAAGCTGGAATAAACGGATTTATCGGGATATTTGTTAAACTTAAACATTTATTTTTAGAACTAATTATCTATCGAAATACACGCATATCAGGGTACTCGCAAACACCTTTCAGCAGCAAAATATTGAACAACGATGAAGCAACAGGGATTGCCGCGAGAAAAGTTTTCGCGAAGGAACGTTTGCAGCGACGAAATTTCCTAGGAGGTGGATGAAACGATATCAAAAATTTGAAAACGATTCCATAACCGCGTGTTCTTTCCCGATCCGCGAACGAAGGATTGTACAAAAAATGGGTTCCGTCATAACGAAAGTTAACACACTAGAAAACACACGGTTTTTAAGTACAACCCTTCGTCTTCTACTTATTAAAGCCAAGAGTTTGGGTAAAAAATAGCAATCCTTCGATCGCGAACTAGAAGGAGTATTACGCGAATGGAATCCTGTTCAAATATAAGATTCCGTCGATCCGCCTCGAAGGAATCTCGCTCACCGCAATTTATCTTCGACAAAATCTTCTCTTACGATAACCGCTGTTACGTTTTCATTTTCCAATTTCTCGCTATAAAAAAATGTGTTCAAAAGTACAAAAATACGTGTATGTTTCAATAAAGAATAAGTCGTAAAATGAATCTTTAAGTAATAATTTAATCCGCAAAATGCCGTCTTGTGTAACCTCCGACTAGGTGTAACCCCTTGACAATGAAATTATCCGCATAAACAAAAGTCGTCGTCGCACGTTTATCAAGATACGAGTACACTTATTTCTACGAAATTGTTTTAACAACGTCGTCGTCGTTTGAACAAATCTTTCATATTATGCGCAATAAAGAACCTGTGCTTAAGTTACATAAGATTGAGAAGAGAGAAGAAGAAAGGTTGTGGAAAGAGAGGGAAGAGCTGAAAGTTAGAGCGTAAGAAAAAAGAGATAGGCAAAAGGAAGGGTTGAGACGACTAATGGAAATGAAAGAATCTGAAGGAAAGAACAAAAAGGACAGTGTAATACCTGCTAAGAAAAAATGCATACCTAAATATGAAGAGCTTCGGGAGGAACCGAACCAAGATGAAGATGATGAATACTCTGATGATGATGAACACAGCGAAGATGAAGATGAAGATTGTGATTATGACGAAGGCGAGGATGAATGTGAAGACGATGACCTTGAAGAGCCCATGGATACTGGTGAATTTTCTCCGGAGGCAAATCCTAAACCTGAAAATAAAAAGAAAGTGGTTAAAACTAATTCTGATAGGGGTAGTACTGGCAGCGTGTCCACTATTTGTGTACAGCAAGCTTCGGAGCCTCTGACAGGCCCCCCGGCACCGCTCGCGGAGGTTGGCAAGCGTGTAACTCTGCTAACAGAAGAAATAATGGCCCACTGATTAGTCGAGATAAATAAGATTGGGAAAAGCCAGGCGAAATTCATTATGGAACGGGTCCTAAAGATAACTGGAGCTGTTAACGACTTGCTCATCCAAAATAGTTATAACGAAGGACGCCTGAAGATTGTAGAATCTGCCAATCTCGGCACCGAGTCCCGTAGCAGGGTTATACCATCCCCTACGCTGTTTTGCAATCCTCAGCTGGAAGACTGTAGCTCTCAGAGCTTGAGGATTTTAGAATCCGCCAACATCGGCACCGAACCCTGTAATACGGCCGCACCACCTCTTACGCTGCCTTGTAACCCTCAGCGTCACGACTGCTGCTCTCAAACTAACGAACAACTCAGTTATGCTCAGGTGACCAATATAAGCACGAAATCTGAAAGGACTACGAGAGCCATAGAGGCTTCTGCAAAGCAGCCCCGCAGGCATAAAGTTATGATCCAACCTAATGATGCCAACAGTGAGACTAGCAGTGAAGCAACTAAAGAGATTTTATTTAAATTGGTTAATCCGGTAACCTCTGGAGTCAGAGTTTCGTCAGTGCGAAAGGCGGGTAACGGCTTTATTATTATAAAAACAGAGACCAATAAGGACATCAAGTTTTTCTCAGACAATAGCAAGATAAAGAATGCAGGACTGAATGTTACTAAACCTCCTGACGAACGACCCAGAGTTATACTACTAAATTCACCTACGGATATTCGGGATACTGAAATCGTAGAAGCTATTAGGAAGCAGAACTTCCCAGATGTAAAGGCAGCCGAGGCGCAAAGGCTGATGCGATTGAGCCACAGGAAGGGCATGAGAGACAGACAAACCGTACATCTGGTGTTTGAGGTTACCCGGGCATTTAGGAAAATCCTTTTAAATACAGGACGCGTATGTCTGGGGTGGAACTCTTGCCTTGCTACCTAGAAATAGGTCGATGCTACAGGTCTCAGGCCTTGAGTCACATTGCAAAATATTGCACTGCTCGGGATGAGGTATGTGAACACTGCGCAGAAACTGGACATGCATTCAAGGACTGTGTGCATCGGGGGCGTCCCCCGACATGCCAAAATTGCCGCAAGGCTGGGAGACCGTCTGGACATCCGGCCAATTTCGGTGACTGCCCATCTTACCTGACAGCACTTAGGAGCAAAGCTGGGGCGATTGGCTACGACTAGCCTCTCCACGCGCCGAACTGGTCCTGATGACGACTGCAACCTGGAACAGAAAATGAACATGATTAATGAATATGGTTAATCTTGATGACGCATAAAACTGACAACTATGATGTACTGCTATGACCATCGCCCGCGGGTGGGGGGGATGCCTCCCCCCCCCGCGGGTACACGGGTCTGTCCCGTCGCCCGCGAGGGTGACGCTGTGCGCTCCCCTTGCGGGTCCACGGGATCTGGAACGTTATGGTGCTGACTGATTAGCTGCCTTGGCTTCCCCAATCCTGGAGGATCAGGTACTAGGCCTCTCCACCACGACGAGGTGGCAGCCATGGAGAGGAAACTGCGGCGGACTGCGAACGGAACAGCCTGGTGCGTCGGCAGGTTCGTTGAGTCGCGCTGACCAGTGCGCGGGTTGATGCAGTCCCAACTGGCAGGAACGGCGTAAGCCGTTCGTAGGAGTACCCATTCCCTGACCGGGTAGCTGGTAAAAATTGGGTGCCTCAGGGC